CCGCGCCGCAGCCACCCCGGGCCGGGCCGGGCCGCGAGGAGCCTCCGCGCCGCCAGCAGATCATCCACAGCGGCCACTTCATGGTGTCGTCGCCGCACCGCGAGCACCCGCCCAAGAAGGGCTACGATTTTGACACGGTCAACAAGCAGACGTGCCAGACCTACAGCTTCGGCAAGACCAGCTCCTGCCACCTGTCCATCGACGCCTCGCTCACCAAGCTCTTCGAGTGCATGACCCTGGCCTACAGGTAGGGAACCGGCGACCTCCGAAGGCCCCGGCCGGACCCCAGCTCTCTAGCAGGGCCTCCCTTTGACAAAACAAGCGTAGAGGGCTGCGCCGCCTGGGGACTCCTTGGCTTCACACATTCCCTTTGGGTGTTCCCCCTTTGGGAGCGTTTATGGGTAGGGGGTCCCCAACGTTGCGAGAGGGATCCGGGTTCTGGCCTCTTCCCCTGTCAACAGTGTTTGTGTTCTTCCGGCTTCATGTTCCCCATCTAGGCACCCCCCACCCCCACCCCGGTGTCCCGAGGCCACAGATCTTGGATTAGAAAGAGAAATAAACATAGGCTGCATCTTGTGTTACCTAACTCTATCGACCCTTTCCCCTAAACGCTTTGTGTACTTCCAGCAATATCTAGCAGTGGCTAAGACCACCTGTCCAGGGCGACTGGAGAGCTGGCTGCACTGTTTGATGGTTGTGTAACACCTCGGAGTCTGTTTCCTTCTTTATAAATATACTGGAAGTGACAGTAGTATCTGCCTCCATGGGACGATTGCGGGTATGGAATGACATAGGTAAATTGCTTATTCCACTGCTTGGCGCAGCATTTAGGTGCTCCATAAATGTTTAGCTACTTTTCTTCTCGTCCCTGCACCCGGAGGCTGGGCCCTCTCACAAGGTGTTTATTGGGAGGCCCTCTCCCATCTTGGGAGGGCCCTGGGTGCCTCTTAGGAAGACTTGGAGCCACAGCTGTTGGAGGTTCAGTCTGTCCTAGCAAGTTGGAGGGTTTTCTGGCCGGCCCTGAAACATTATATGAAGGAGATGTCAGTGTTTAGGGCAGACAGGCCAGATACTATCCTGACATGTGGATTCAGCTCTGGGTGAAGATCTCTTTTTTCTAAGTCACAGAAATGCCTGGTCTTGTCACTCTCCCTTCCCCAGTGTGTATATTAGGTGTTTGCTGCAGGCAACTTTTCTTCCTCAGCAACAGAACTTCTTTGGACTGGCTGCAGTGACCTGAGCAGCCTAGCCCTGCACAAAGCTCATGATAGGATCTAGCTGAGTTTGGCTTACTGCACTTGTAACTGGGCTGTCTGGGGCTGTCTTATGTCTGCTCTGCAGGCAGCACAGGAAAAGTTTCCCAGGAGGGTCCAGAAACAATGTAAAGAGTAGAACATTCTCCTCTCTTTTTTGTTGGAGAGCCAGCCCCAGATATACCCAAGTGAAAACATTATGCATTTACCTGAAGTTAAAATACTAGATACTTGGTTCTGGATGGCATTTTCCCCCTCTGGAATAAATGATTAGTCAACTTGTTCCATTGTTATGTTCCTGAAACATACCCTGCCACCCCCATTTCCTCTCTTGATGGTTTCCCTGCTGATTTGTTTTCATAGCTCTTCCTCCCATCCCCCTTATGTGGCACATTGGTCAGTCTCTGCTCCGATTCTCTGGTCTTGCTAGCTTGAGCTGGCACTGAGCCTATAAAGATGTTCTGTTTTTTAAAAAACAAATGGTATTGAGGTTGCAGCCCTGTGCACCCTTCAATCTCAAATTTTGATTATGTCCATTGGAGTCAAACCCATCTAGATTACAGCGATTCCACACTTGGAGAGAGCCTTTTCAAACAAAACTAGAGGTGAAAGACAGGAATGTGTTTTATTAACAGAACTTAATCCTCTTCTTTATTTTAATATAAACTTCTACATGTTCAAGGAGAGAACGGATAATTGAGTCCCAGGAGGCATGGGCTAGAAAGGTCTCACCTAAGTAAGCTCAGCTAAAGGAAAAATAAACCAGTCTCCCCTTTGCCCTCTGTTTGGATAACCTAAAGGCGTATTAAATAATGCCAAAGAATTTTAGTAATGGCATTTATTTTTTTTTCCATTTCTCTTAAAAATATTTTGGCAACTGGCCATTACTCAGTTAACTTTCTTGATTGCAAAATGCACCATGTTTGGTGCAAGAAACTTACCTTACTCTTCAGGGCTGCCAGCCCCTCTGGCTCTCTTGCTTTTACTGCTTTTCCCTGTGCCTAAGTCCACTGCTGCCTGAGGTCTACTGCCGCAGGTCCCCGGATGGGATCTGCCTAGAATTCCTCATGAAGATGCTCTTTGTCTGCCTGTGTGAGGCTGGTTTGGCTGGCCCCTGGGTTTAGTTGGCCGTGAGGAACTTTGGTAAGGATTGACAGAGGAATGACTCAAAACCAGTTGTCTGGGCTATAGCTGCTGGCACAGAAAAAAGCTAGAAAAAAGTGAGTTTCTGACCTCAGCTCTCCTATCAAGACTACTAGCTGTCTTTCAGAGACGTAAGATCAAGATGGGAGGCAGGGAGGAAAGAAGACTTAATTTCTGAGCTGATTTGACTTCCGGTTCAGTGGGGTTTGAGCCTTCGCCACTGGTTTTCCAGGTTCTTTCCTCCTACGTGGACTGAGAGGGAGGCCAGCTGGGTCTCCTCTTCTGTGTGACTGTTTCTGGCCTCTGTTCTTTCTTTCTTTCTTTCTTTCTTTTTTTTTTAAAGATGGCCAGTAAGGGGATCTTAACCCTTGACTTGGTGTTGTCAGCACCACGCTCTCCCAAGTGAGCTCCGGGCCGGCCCCTGGCCTCTGTTTTTTCTAACTTCAACTTCCTGTCTGTCCCCTGTCCTCTTCATTCTAGCTGCCTAACTCTCCCTGGTACACTCTGTACTTTTTTTTTTTAGGTTTGGTTTCCTGTTAACTGCTGCCTCCCAGCTGTTTCCAGATGAGGTTCAACAGCTCTTACAGAGGAACTAAGTGCAGGGGAAGTTGTGGTTGTTTTTTACCCAGTCCTGAGAGAAGTGGTCGAGGGATTCTGAATATGATCTGTTCCTGAACATGCCAGGCCTTTAACTCCTGAAGGGTCTTTGGTCAGGGTTGACTTTGGGTGCGGGATTAGGGTGTTTGAAGACTTGGGACTGTGTGAGTGTGCTTAGTGGCCTGCCTGGTAAGTAACAGTGCAGATGGGATTCCAGTTTCATTGTACTGGCTTTCAAATCCATGTCCTTCCTGCTCTGTGTTGCTGAAACATCTTGATTTGGTCCTAGAACATGTGCTGAATTACTGGGATGTCTTGGAGGGGAAGAAGTTGCCTTTCCCCAAGTCAAAACTTAGGTGGTTGGTTCCCGCTCACTGGTTGAGCGAGGCGCGGGAGCAACGCCGAGGGTTGCAATCCCGTTGCCGGTCCCCGGTCCGGTACGGGGGCAACACTGAGGGTTGCGATCCGTTGCCGGACACGGAAAAAAGACAAAAAAAAAAAACTTAGGTGGTGGATGACAGGGAAAAGAAGCCCATGGCGTACCTTTTCTAAGCCATCCTGTCTGCTGCTCTAAAATGAGGAGGATAAAACTTCCCTGTAGGGTGGAAGTAAGGATTAACGGAGATAGCATCTGTGAATGTGTCTAGTGTCTGAAGAATGACAGGCAAGAGGAGATTAAACAGGCTGAGTGTAGCAGGTGGGTTATGGTGGAATTTCAAGTCTGTATTCTCATTCAGCTGACATTTATTAGGAGCCCAAGTTTCTCAATTATAGACAAGAAACTTATGAAGAAAATAATGTATCTGACTGGGATCTTTGAGTGCAGTTCTCAAATGCCTGCCTGACAAATGCTAAATAGAAGCATTCTTGATTTGGCCAGATCCTTTCTAAGGCTCCACAATGGAGCTATGTACTCTAGAACATAGTTCATGGTTCTTGCCCTCTTAACTTTTTAAGGAATGTCACACATGTACATCCCCCACACAGATTCTGAACACATCTAGTGTGTTGCTTTTTGTAGTTGGTTTTGGTTTCACTTCTCTACCTTTTTAAGTAACTCCTTATCAGGGAGGCTTGGTGTGAATGTCTCCAAGCTAATAGATGGTCTTTTTAGGTATTTAGAGATAAGCAGTAGCTTTCTGGAAAACGGGTTTTTGCTTAGTGGATATTTGAGGAGACATTTTAATTAGGACCTGTAAGATAGCCTTGGTATATAAGTTTCTAGGATGAAGCCCCCTAGGTGTATGCCCTGTATAGCAATAACCCTTTGTTCATGACCCAAGATGGGCATCTATGCCAGACTTAAGGAATAATAAGGACTAAAGGTTTAGAACACTGTGTGCTCCAAATTTTAAGTTTTCAATAGAGGAATCTTCTAATGATAGACATGGTAGCTAGTTGTAAATGGAAACCATTCATACTAATGGCTAAATTAGTTTTACTCCTCTATAACCACACCAAAGATAAGCAGTTTTTCTTCTTTTTCACTTTCTTCAGTCTTTAATCATGAGATAGTCTGCCACTAAAAGGTGTGCACTGAGGTGGGAGCTGGTCTTACAGAGGTGGAGGGCAGTCTCTCTCGTCAAGGAGCTCACCAACAGATACACAGTTATAGAACAATTAGTAAGGGCTGTGATAAAAATGCAAACCAGGTCTATGGCAGTACTGAGGAAGGGTTTCCAAACCAGATTGAGTGTGTGTGTGCTGACATAACCAGTATCAGTGTGGACAGTTTCCTTAACGTCACGGTTTAATACTTGTCTCCCCTTCCCTGTGTTAACTGCCAAAAATTATGGATCGTATTCCCCAATGGGAAGCCCCAGTGTTCTTTTTTTTTTTTTTTTTTTTTTTAAAGATGACTGGTAAGGGGATCTTAACCCTTGACTTGCTGTTGTCAGCACCACGCTCATCCAATGAGCCAACGGGCCATCCCTTTATGGGATCCGATCCCATGGCCTTGGTGTTATCAGCACCNAGTAAGGGGATCTTAACCCTTGACTTGGTGTTGTCAGCACCACGCTCTCCCAAGTGAGCTCCGGGCCGGCCCCTGGCCTCTGTTTTTTCTAACTTCAACTTCCTGTCTGTCCCCTGTCCTCTTCATTCTAGCTGCCTAACTCTCCCTGGTACACTCTGTACTTTTTTTTTTTAGGTTTGGTTTCCTGTTAACTGCTGCCTCCCAGCTGTTTCCAGATGAGGTTCAACAGCTCTTACAGAGGAACTAAGTGCAGGGGAAGTTGTGGTTGTTTTTTACCCA